AAAAAACCCAGGCAAAATTTCAAAGAACATTATCTCCAGGCTTAGGACATTGTTATAGGTCACAATGTTCAATTGAACCCACTCGTGCTTGAAATATCACCAAAACCACAAAGTTGATTCATAAAATTAGTTCATAGTTACCCTTTACCTACCCCTTCTTAATTTCCTTTAAAAGTCATATATTCTCAAACCCACCAATTATTGTAAAGGTCTACCTAAACTAACCAATGCGATCTGCTTCTGTACCTTGCTTGCTCCCTCCCCATATTGTAGTTTTTGTCTTTAAAAACTGTGCCTGCCATGCTCAAGGCATGCTCTTTTCCTGTGTGTTCAGGCTGCCCTGCGTGCACGTGGATAATAAAGCTTTCCCTTTGTGATCTGCATGAGAGACCGACTCTTGGAGTCTTCCTTCGCAGCGACTCGACCCTTACATTTGGGGGCTCATCCGGGATCGTCTCCCGTGGTGGGAGACCCCAACAGCTGCCAGATCTCTTGGAGTAAGTACGGCTGTATAACTTTGTTTTTCATCTTAGTGTCTTGTCTTGTGGTTTCGCTTCGTTCTCAAGTTACGAGTGCTCAGTTATAATTTGTCTCCTCTCTTTGGGTGTTTCTACACCATTTGGCCTTTGGGCGTTTGTGTGATCACAATTTGTCTACTGACCATGGCTGGCAAAGAGGCACATAAGCTCCCATTGCCTGCAGCTGACAGACATGCCAAGAGGCTGCAAGCCACTCAGCTGAGGGATGCCTCAGTGTGGTTCCGGATCCCTGGAGTAACCCAGGATCCATTTGTTGGTCTTCTGAACAGAGGACTCTTGTGTGGCCAATAGAATTTGTGTTTTGACTATGTTTTAATGTTCAATGTTGTTTGTGCTCCTGTGTCTGGCGCCATAACTGCTTTTTTTTTTCCTACAGCATTTTTCATAATTAATGACTTCTTTCTCCACAGTGGGATCCCCCTCCCACCGACATCCTTCACGTGTCCCCATTTATTTGTTTGCAGCAGCCTACACTGTTTTAGCCTGCCTCTGTCCCTTTGGAGTTCTGTGGGATGTTGGTTATTTTGATAATACGGGACAAATAACATCTGCTTCTCTCGCCCTTACCCAAGGTCATTGGTCGGAGATTAGGGGGAAAGCACATAATCTTTCTTTGACTGTTAAAAAAGGAAAATGACAAACTCTCTGTTCTTCAGAGTGGCCCTCCTTCCAGGTGGGATGGCCTCCAAAGGGATCTTTTCACCC